GAGGCCATCTTTGTGAAAAGAAATCGTCCATCGTTAAACAGGGGTGGAGGCCTCCGGGTTCAACTGTCCCCCTCTTACAATGCTGTGATTGCTAGTATCACTCAGCCCTCTGTGAACAGTAAACAGCCATCAGTGTGCTAATGATCCATTGTTAGGCTGATGGTCCTTCTTGAGCATGTGATCAGCTGGTTTTGGTTGTCAGCAGCAAACTGGTTGATCCACTCTGAGAAGGTACTATTTAAGAGACTGAGCTGAGAACAGCACCTCAGACTGAGGAAGTCTTTTCGATTAAAGACTAAACGTTTCAACAAGTTTTTAAAATTTTTTTTTTTTTTTTATCCGTCCAGAGGACCTGACAACTTTGTTAGATTTTTCTATCTGGATTATTGAGCATGCATCAGGACACTAAACTTTGTGTGATTTTTCAGAGTACGAGTGTGTGTGATTGTGAGTGCAGACTATGATGGAGACTGAGAGGTGTGGTGCCCCCTCAATCAGTGAGTCGGGGACAGAGCCTCTGCTCAAAGCAGTCTGCTTCCTTCACTCTTCTACAACAGCAGGTACTGTTCATCCACTCCAGCCTGCCTCCTTCTCCAAAAACAAGCCCTGCTTTGTGTCCACTACACCTCCCTACTGCTCTGGTCTGGGAGTTTTAAAAGTTTACATGCTTAAGAAAAAAATACGGAAAAGGGCACTACCTACTACTTTGTGTCTGCCTGGCCTCCATCCTGTGTGCTGTAAAGTGGTGACACTTATTGCTACACAAATGGTGAAAACATGCATAACATCTCTAAATGTGCAAATAAGAGTAGATGATGGTGTACAGCTTAACCACTCAACCAGATGCAAAGTTTGCAGTACCCCACTTTCAGGGTGGGAGTTGGACTCCTCCAGGTCTGCCCGTTGTCACCGATTCTGTTCATATTTTTTATGAACAGAATTTCTCAGTGCAGCCAGGGGGTGGAGGGAGTCCGGTTCTTTGGCCTCAGGAATTCCATCTCTGCTCTTTGCAGATGATGTGGTCCTGTTGGCGTCATCGTGCCGTGATCTTCAGCTCTCACTGGAGCAGTTTGCAGCAGAGTGTGAAGCAGCTGGGATGAGAATCAGCACCTCCAAATCTGAGGCCATGGTCCTCAACCAGAAAAGGGTGGATTGCTCTCTTCAGGTTGAGGGTGAGGTTCTGCCTCAAGTGGAGGAGTTCAAGTATCTCGGGGTTTTGTTCACGAGTGAGAGAAGAATGGAGCGTGAGATTAACAGACGGATTGGTTGAGCAGTATTGTGGACTCTGTGTTGGTCTGTTGCAGTGAAGAGGGAGATGAGCTGTAAGGCAAAGCTCTCTGTTTACTGGTAGGTCTACATTCATACCCTCACCTATGGTCATAAGCTCTGGGTAGTGACTGAAAGAATGAGATCGTGGCTACAGGAGGTTGAAATGTTTCCTCTGCAGGGTAGCTGGAAGTTCACTTCTCAGGAGAGACTCTGAGTAGAACTGCTGCTCCTCCACATCAAGAGGAGTCGGTTGAGGTGGTTCGGGCATCTGGTAAGGATGCTCCCTGGACGCCATGCTAGGGAGGTGCTTCAGGCATGTCCTCTGAATGCTAGGAAACCCCTTGTAACTGTGACTTTCCTTCCCTCCACTGACTATGGTGACATTATTTACATGAACGCTCCTACAAGCACCTGCAGATGTTGGATGCTGTCTATCATGGTGCACTAAGATTCATAACTGGCTGTAACTACAGTACCCACCACTGCACCCAGTATTCACTGGTTAACTGGTCACCATTAACTTCAAGCAGACTCTCCCTCTGGTACATTTTCATCTTTAAATCACTTCTTGGTCTGTTGTCTTCATACATCTCCTCCTACATGTCTCTGTGTGAGTGCAGCTACAGCGTGCGCTCTCAGGACATCATTACCTGCAGTGTTCCCTCAGTGAGGACTGAACTAGACAAAAGGGCCTTCTCCTACTCCGCTCCTGTTTCCTGAAATATCTTGTAAAAAGATCTGAAGCTCTCGACCTTTGACCTCTCTAAGTGACTTAAACTCTGTTAAGTTCCTGGCAAAAACCAGTGCAGACATGTTCTTATTTTTAGTTTTTAGTTTTCTAAATATCCTTATAATCCAGCATTTTTTTTGCTACTATTCCTCTTGATTGTTCTTTTGGTTGCTATTTTGTTTTGATTTGTAAAAAAAAAAAAAAAAAAGAGAGAGAGAAACTTAAATTTATATGCGTCTTTTATGACTGTCCATTGTTGTCATCACTCTTTGTTAAGAAATCAGGTCTCTTTTGTAAATGAGTCCCCGAGGCTCAATGGGATTAACCTGTCTAAATAAAGGTTGAATGAATAAAAGAATGTCTGACTGGGAGGAGAACCTGGAAAAGACCCAGGACATGCTGGAGAGACTACATCTCTCGGTTGGCCTAGGAACACCTTTGAGTCCTCCCAGAGGAGCTGGAAGAGGTGTCTGTGGAAAGAGATGTCTGGACCTCCCTGCTCAAGCTGCTGCCCCCGAGACCTGACTTCAGAACAAGCGGAAGGTAATGGACGGATGAAAGGTTTGGATTAATAATTAGAGGAGGGGCATTTTGTACACCAGAACTTGTTTATCAGTTTTTCTGAAGTCAAGAATTTTATTGCTGATTACAGTAAAGATTGGAGAGAAGAGCCTTAAGGCTGTTTTTTTTTTGGTCTTCTCTCTGATCTTTGCTCCTGGCTTCAAGTCTGCTGAGAAAAAGCAGTTCAGACAAAAAAAACAAGAACACAATAGGACGTGCACGCAGAAGCAAACAAAAGCACAAACATGCATACAAGCACGTATTCCCACCCAGAGGGGGTCCGTGTTTTCTGCAAGCTCTGTATTCTCTTAGCTATTCTGGGAATCACTTGAGTTGTGTATTATCTAAGAGATAAGAGACTCTCTTTGCCAGGACTCAGGAAGTGCAGAGGAATTTGCTGCCAGATATCTCTGTGTTTTTTAAATTGTTTTGGAGCCCACGCCCCCCCCCCCCCCCCCCCAATGGAACAACTTCCTCTCCGGGCTGAGACTTGGCTCCCTGCACTCCACTGGTGCATCCTCTTCCTGAGGTGGAGTCCCCTTTTCCATCAAAAAACTCCCTCCATTTGCCTTTTCTCAAATGCTCTCTCCCTCTCTCTCCTTCCTAAGAGAGGTGGAGCTTCTATTTCCAACATAAAACTTGGAATGGCTCAAAAGTTTTTCCAGTAAATAAAGGTGTCTGGAGCACACACTAAAGAAAAGGTACACAAGAGTTTGAGAAATCACAAAACATTTTAGTCAGTCAGTTTGAAAAGTTGATTAAAGTGATGGGTTTATTCTAAATGAGAAACCCTGAAACAATTTGAACTCAGGAAGGTCGTGTGGAGGACAGTGGAAGAAACACAGAAAGACAGTTTAGGTTGTGGACATAACCAAACAGAAGGAATAAAAGAGGGAAGAAGCCAGTGGGTGGAGAGCAGGAGGGCCGAGTGTAGGAGGGTAGATGTGGGACACAGGGGCATAGGAACACTCACTCCTGCAGGGTCTCCACTCCCATTTCCTTATACTGCAGCTCCTGCTTCACCTGGGCCAGCTCCTGCTTCAGTCTGGAGAGCTGCAAACACAAGCAAGCGCCGGGTTACTGTGTGCACAATGGACTTCTCTCACCAGCACCGCCAGACACAACTGCTAAGTCATGAACTACTCACATACAGGAATGCTCAGTTCTGTTTATACAGAGGTGCACATGCACACATCCGCACACTCTGGCTCACACACACTGAGGCCTTGAGAACAGGTTTGACATTAGAGAGGGAAAAAATGTATTAAGAGACAAACTATCATACATAAGGCATATGGAGACTTTAACATTTAAGAAAAAAAAACTGTTAGTTGGTATAACTTCATTTCACCATGGCCATTTAAGATGGAACTGTTTATTGAATATTTTATATTTATGAACTGTGTGCAAGGCAACACGGTGGCTCAGTTGACAGAGCTGTTGCCTCTCAGCAAGAAGGTCGCCGGATCAAATCCCAGCTGGGGACCTTTCTGGGTGGAGTTTGCATGTTCTGTCTGTGCAAGCATGAGTTTTCTCCGGGTACAGTCCTCACTACTTGGCGGATCGACTTCTGCAGACTTGCTCTTTCACGGTTTTTCAAAGTACTGTACAGTTCTGTAAGATTGTAAATGACAAAAAGAAGAAGAAAAAAGTGCAGCCATTTTGTAGTTTTCTTTCATCAAGCCTACACTGTTTTGTCAGGCTAAAGACCTACATTACCCAGAAGCCATCAGTTCACTTCTCAGAAGTCAACACTGCTTCCAGCTGCTGGTTTCTGCAAATGGAGGGAAAGTTTGGCAACGCAAAGTCAGAAGTTCAGTAAGGATAACCTCACAGGACTGGCAAGAAAGTCACAAATAATCCTGAAGCTGAACTCATCCTTCAAGTTGTAATAGTATCTTCACTGGTGAGTACCCGGGCTGTACTGGATCCGGACTCAGTGTGACCCAGATACTGGGGACTGCAGGGGACAGACAGTGGTGGGATTCTGCCTGGTTCTGGTCGCGCAGTGCTGGACTAGACCAGGCCAGAGGCGGTGGATTAAATCCTGGGCAGCCTTGCGTGTAGAGTGTCCTTCCTGGAGCGGCAGCACGCGCACATCAACCTGGACAGGGTGGTGGGCTTCGTCATGCTGCAGAGTAGCCGAACAGAACCGAGCCTGACCGGAACAGAGCTGGTGATTACTCAAATAAAATTTTGCTGTAGCTGCTGTGCAATACAACATAAGTTGTTAAAATTAGTAGGTTTAAGAGTTTAGAACACTGATTGTGGGCTTTGTCACTGCAGGGTAGGTCTGCAGAAACGGAACAGAGTTGGACCAGAACCGAAAGCTGCTGTTCTGTTGAGCCTGGTAAGTAAAATGTAGTATCTACATATACAGTACTGTACGTATGTTGTTAAAATAACATAGGGTTAAGAGTTTAGAACAATGCAAGAGTAGGGTTGGGCATCGAGGATCGAGAATCATTCAGAACCGGGACTAACTGTCCAGTTTTCCCGAAATTGTTCAAAATTTTTATTTTCGATTCCTATTTTCGATGCCTAGTCCGCCAACCGGAAGTAGAAGCCGCCCACCGACACCAACGAAGAAGAATCCACCGGAAGTGTTCCCATACATGGAGAGTGAGCAGCTGCAGTCGAAAGTGTGACTTAACTTTAATAAGATGACCAGTTATCTCAGTGCAGCACTTGCAATATTTTATATCATGCAAAGCAGGGTGTATAAGTAAAATAGTGGCCTGTCTTTGACGAGCTCCACCAGACTCTTTTCTCTGCCTCCTCTGGTCCAGGTCCGGCCCTCAGAAGTAACAGAGTGGCCCGTCTTTGAAGCGCTCCGCCGGAGTGTTTTCGCTGCCTCCTTCTCCGGCTCCATCAGGTAAATAAAACTATAAACTACGTCTCATACCAACATTAGGGCAGCTAACAAGTTATACTCAACTTAAAGTGGTAGGCCAACTCAAATGCAAACTCCATGCTAACGTTAGCTCGTATTTTTTTCTTAGACAAACGACCCGAAATGGCTAATAATGTTAGCCAGGCTCCACGATGTGCTCCTCCGTTCACCAAGGAGTTCTCCAAAGGAAATACGTTGGTGCAACTGACTGAAGAGCGCCACAGAATGGTTACAGCCTATATTGTGAAAAGGTTTCATCCCTTTTCAGATGTGGAGTCACCAACATTTAGGTTAGTTAGGTAATAGCAATAGAGCTAAGCTAATTAATAGTCCATCCTAAGCTAACGTTACAGTAACAGTGACATTACATGTTTGTTTATATGTTTACAGGGACATGGTGAAAACCTTCAACCCAAGTACACACCATCTACCATGGACCACTTGTCAAATAAGTTAATCTTGTTATAAGGTGGAGAAGAGCTGCTCTGTGCTTGAAACAGAATACGAATGACGTGTCTGGGAGCAGATCCAGAGAAAGATGATTGAGCAGGTGAAATATTATGCACAACTGTCACGGTCAGCGGCCCCCGCTGCCCCCCCATCTGCCTAAGCCTCTGCTCTTTGTGTGGTTTCTGTTTCTGTGTCCTAAGCCTTTGCTCTTTGTGTGGTTTCTGTTTCTGTGTATCTGGTCCTGTTTTCCACTCACTCCTCAGTCTGCCTCTCCACTCCTCAGTTTTTATCATTCACTCCTCAGTCTGCCTCTCCACTCCTGTCACGGTCAGCGGCCCCCGCTGCCCCCCCATCTGCCTAAGCCTCTGCTCTTTGTGTGTTTTCTGTTTTTGTGTATCTGGTCCTGTTTTCCACTCACTCCTCAGTCTGCCTCTCCACTCCTCAGTCTTTATCATTCACACCTGTCCCTCATCAGCCACCTGCCCAGGTGCTCTCATTACTCACTCTCCCTCTGCCTTATAAAAAGCCTTTCTCTCCTTCACTCCTTGGTCCGGTCATTGTTCTGTGTTTACAGACATCTCAGTCCTCTTCTGTCTTGTCTGTTTCTTGTCCACCTGATTATCTGCTCTGCCTTGTTTCTGATCCTGTCTGCCCAAGTAAGTTTTGCTGCACCGACAGCCTTTTGTTTTGTTATTAAAAAAATAAATTATTTTTATTTTTAAACTCCTGCCTCGCTCGCCTCTCTGCAATTGGGTTCCAACACTGAGGATTGTGACACACAACTGTCCTTTTCTGCTATTAAAATCTGAAATCCAAATACTAGTAATGTTCTCTGTGGTCAACAGAGGAAGACTGTGGAGATGATGGGGTCCCCATGCAGTCTGAGGAAAGGTCTGAGAATGAGGGAGTGGAGGATGAGGAGGAGAGTGTAAGAGTATGAGAGCTGAAATTATACAGATTCTCAATCTTAATAATGATCATGCATTTAATAATCCCTTTTTACTGATAATACTGATGAACCTGTTGTTTGTTTAGGAACCACCTCCCTGCAATCTGTCCAGAAAGTCTCCAGTGGAGGAGCTTTTTGCTGAGGACGATGCACATAACGTGATGTCACAGGTCCATGTCCATGAAGAAACAAGTGGAGAGAGGCTGCAGATGTACCAGTAAATTTCACCAGCCGTTCTGTCTGAGGACCTGCTGCTGGTGGTGGAACCAACACAAGACTTATCCTTTGCTGTCAGATCTTACATTCTCATATTTATGTGTTAAAGTTTCTTCCACACCCGCAAACGTGTTCTCCACTGCAGGAGACACTGTCTGTCCAGAACACTCACCATACTGTCTGAGAAGCAGAGATGATCATTTACCTCAACAAGAACTGTTTCTGATTTTATACTGTACCTGCTGCTAATCTGGACTGGATTTTACAAGTTACTCTTTTTTATAATAATAATAATAATTTAGTTTGATATTCTGCAGCAGGTTAGCCCATCAGTGGGCGCTCAGTAACATGGCTGCAGCATCACACACTGGACATGTGGAAATGTGTTTCCATGAAGTTTTCAAACATAAAGCTCTCTTGTGAAAGTGTACCCTGTGAAAAGAAAGATCATAACATTTATATTAAAGTTCATAAGTTTGATAATTAATAATGGTTTAAAATAGCTCTGTGAGAAATTCATAGCAAATTTAACAAAAAGTAAAAAGTTCATAGAATTAAAATTCAAATAGAAGTTCAAATTATTTAATCCAGAAAGAACTCTGGCTAGCTACTGTAGCTCATTTATAACATGATGGAGTTATATTCAAAGCAGTCTGCTCCTCAGATAAATAGTGTTCACTTTTTATTTTTATATATGATTGTTTCTGTTCAGGGCAGCACGGTGGCACAACTGGTAGAGCTGCTGCCTCTCAGCGAGCAGGTCCTTGGTTCAAACCCCGGTCCAGGGGCCTTTCTGGGTGGAGTTTGCATGTTCTCTCCGTGCATGCGTGGGTTTTCTCCGGGTACTCCAGTTTCCTCCCACAGACCAAAAACATGCATGTTAGGCTGATTGGTAACTCTAAATTGTCCCTAGGTGTGAGTGAGAGTGAATGGTTGTTTGTCTCTAGGTGGCCCTGTGATGGACTTGCGACCCGTCCAGGGTGTCCCCCGCCCCTCGCACAGTGATTGCTGGACATGGGCAACAGCGACCCCCGTGACCCAAAAATGGAACAAACGGGTAAAGATAATGGATGGATGGATGGATGGATGTTTCTGTTCAGTGCCCTGAGACGACTTCTGTTGTGACTTGGCACTGTACAGTATAAATAAACTGAATTGAATTGACATGTCTTTTTTAACCCCGTCTCTAAAAAGAATCGGAATCGGGAATTGATAGGAACCGGACCTGGAATGTAACTCCCGCAATAAACGAGGGACTACTGTATTCAGGTGTCCTCCCACAGACCAAAAACATGCATGTTGGACTGATGGGTAGTTGTCCCTAAGTTTGAGAGAGTGAATGGTTGTTTGTTTCATTTGTCTCTAGGTGTCCCCGTGATGGACTGGAGACCTGTCCAGGGTGTCCCCTGCTTCTCGCACAGTGACTGGTGGACATGGGTACCAGTGACAACAGAAGTTAGAGACAGGTAGGAAGGTACTTGGTGTGTCATCTGGACAGAGACTGGATAATAAGGAAGCCTGGTGGTGGAATAGTGAAGTGCAGGAAGCTGTTCAAAGAAAGAGGTTAGCCAAGAAGAAATATGACAGTGAGAGGACTGAAGATCGGAGACAGGAATATAAGGAGATGGGATGTAGAGCAAAGAGGGAAGTGGCAAAGAGCAAAGCAGAAGGCGTATGATGAGTTGTATGGGAGACTGGACACTAAAGAGGGTGAGAAGGACTTGTACCGATTGGCAAGACAGAGGGATCAGGATGAAAAGGATGTGCAGCAGGTTAGGCTTATTAAGGATAGGAATGGTAATTGGAAACATTTTAACAAGTGAAGAGAGTGTGACGGGAAGATGGAAGATGTACTTTAAGGAGCTAATGAACTAAGAGAATGAAAGAGAAAGAAGAGTATGGTAATTTCTGGTGTATAAGCCACTACTTTTTTCCTCACACTTCGTACCCTGCGGTTTATATGTAGGAGAGGCTAATTTATGTATTTTTTCATAATTTTAAAAATTCATATCTTTATATTTTATTTTGATGGGCCTCCTGCCATCTCTCGGCACCTTCCTGCCACTGAGTAACATTTTCCTTTGATAGAGCTGGGTGCTCATATAACTGCCCAGCACCTGAACCTCTTCAGGGTGGGCTTTTGTCACACAGAGTGAATGCCTCAGGTAATCAGATGTACCAAGCCTCTCACTCAGGGTTTCAAATTTCCTACCCATAACATCACCCACTCCATCATCATGTGACCAGAAGTCTACCCTTTATGACCAATGAGGTACTGTCATTGACCCATCCCCCAAGACATATGTGCATTAATGAGGCAACCCTGTTTACAGTAAGCAAAAGTTAAAAAAAAAAATCTGATCATGAAAATTAATGGGCAGGTCAAAGTGGACCAATGAAACTTCTGATTACTAGCTACTGTAAATGTAATGCACTTGCACTGAATTCTTCAGATTAGTTACTGTATTTTGATATTTAGTAACAAAAAGAGAACTGTTGATGATCCATTTAAAATTGAGGGTGTTGAGATTTGTAGAGTTAATGAGATGAAATTTTTGGGTGTAATCATTGATGAACAGCTAACATGGAAAAACCACATAAATTCTGTAAGAACAAAAATAT